TATATATATATAAAAGAGAAAGCAAATCTATATATATATCTATCTATATATAGATTTGCTTTTTCCAACACTGACAATACAAAAGCAAACCAAAATGCACATTCGGTAAAATATAAAGTATAAAACCTGAGCTAATAGATAAAGATCTGTCAGTAAGGTTTCTCAATTTGGGCGGCTGTAATATGGCAGTATGGCCCCCTGCTGCTGGGTGGCTGTGGGTTGAAATTTGGGCCCCACGGTGTGACAGCGAATGATAGAAGGAGACAGAGAGAAAGTCGGTTTCTATTCACAGCCAGCGGCAACATTAGCATATCTCAAACAGCACGGCCCAAAAGCCCTGACCACCTGTAGATTAACCTTTTTTCTGCCTTCTGATTATTTCCCAATAAAGTGGAATGTGAAAGGCCTGGGCAGAAGATGTATGTGGAAAATGTGTGTGTGTTCTCAGAGCTAAAGAGCAACTAAATGAGCCCAGCGCACTCCACACATGCATTGTGCTGCAGGACAGCGCGTGGTCTGCCTGTAGAAGTGTCTGCGAGGGGGGTGGGCTGCGGGGGTGCCGCCCACTGCACAGCAGTTGGCTGTGGCTGGGATGGGGGCGGGGCTTACAGTGGACAGGGGAAACCAGTGGGAGGTGTGTGGGCGAGATTTACTCAGGGGTTGTCAGCACATAGGGCCCTGAGTCCACTGGCTTTTATACACTAGGTGCACTTGAGTCAAACTAGTGAAGAGCTGAGTTTTGAGATCTGCCACTACTGCCTGCTACCAGGAGTTTGCATTAAACTGCAGGACAACCAGACTCAAGAACGAGGGAAAACCTAACACTTTTTGTCCTTTTTCCTTTTAAACACAACAAAAAAAGGATTAAAATTCATATTTTTGAACCACTTCCCCCAATTCCTCTTCTGAAGTACACCAGGACTTTAAAAGCATGGCAGAGCAGAAGAGGCAGGTGTCTCTGACCCAGGCTGTGACCCTAGCGCTGGTTCTGCTCACCTCAGCCGCTTCGACAGAGGAGTATGACTACTACAGCTGGCAATCTGACAATTTCCACAATGGCCGCTTCTATGCCAAGCAGCCACAGTGTGTGGATATTCCAGCCGACCTGCGGCTCTGCTACAATGTGGGCTACAAAAAGATGCGCCTGCCAAACCTACTGGACCACGAGACCATGCCTGAGGTCAAGCAGCAGGCGGGCAGCTGGGTGCCCCTCCTGGCAAAGCGATGCCATGCTGACACGCAGGTGTTCCTCTGTTCCCTTTTCGCTCCAGTGTGCCTGGACCGGGCAATCTACCCCTGCCGGTCTCTGTGCGAGGCAGTGCGGGACAGCTGTGCTCCGGTCATGGAGACCTATGGCTTTCCCTGGCCGGAGATGCTGCAGTGCGAGAAGTTTCCCATCGACAACGATCTGTGCATTCCTATGCAGTTCTCTGCAGGTCACGCCACTCAGACTCCAGGTAGGACCTACAAGAACATTGTATTAGTGATTTCAACTGTTATTGATTCATTCATTTAAAAGGCAGAAATGCATTTAAACAGGGGACATTTCATTAAATTTTGCATAAATAAGCAGGGGGAAAAATCTAATTTTAACAGCATCACACTTATCCAGAAAGCAAATGTGCTAGTCTTTTTTAATAAAACACAGAGATATACAAGTTATATATCTTACTTAAGCATTGTTTCTTAATTAAACATTTTTATGCACTATAAAAAGCATCAGTGCTTCATTCTTGCCGATTCCAAAGACTCCCCTTTTTATTTAAAAAGAGGAAAAATTATAATTATTAAGTCTCCATAGATCTATACAAGGCCCATTGGTGGATTTCCTCTTGCTCTATTTAGCCTGAGGCTCTTGAGAAAGTAAAATTAAGGAAAGCTCTTTAAAGGACAAAAAACTTTCACTATCTAAAGCAAACATCTCATGTGGAATGTGGAGAGGAGCGTTCCTGCTGCGCCATGACTCTCTCTCTTTGTTTAATCGTGCATTGAGGTTTCCAATTAGCCAGGCAGCCAAACCCTTTGGATCACTAATTAGTCAGAAAAGTTGTACATTACTTTGTCTCACTGAGATGAGAAGGACTATTGTAATAGACAGAGGAAGGAAAAGAGAGGAGAAATGGGAGTGTAGCTAGTGTTCAGGGGAAGTTTGTGGATGGTGTTGAACCACACAAACAGGACAATACACTATAAAAAATACATAAAACATTAAACTAAAAAATAATAATAACAAAACATAAAGAAGCTTAAAATAAATCTTTAAAAAAGTGTTTATTTTCTGAACCATTTGTAAAGTATAATGCAAAAAAAAATGAAACAAGTGATGCAAAAACTTAAGTTTACTTTAAAAAAGTACATTAAATAAATGAAATACTGCTTAAAAAAAAACAATTATTTTTAATTATTATTATTCAAAAAATGCAAAATAATTAGAGATAAAATTAAGGGGTTGAGTTAGTCTGTATAGTCATATAGCTTTATATAAAAACAATATGTCTATGATATGTCTCCAAGTAAACGTATCTGTAAACATGCACACAGCTTCTCTTTTCACTACTAAGATTTGATGGATTACAATGTTCTCAAAGATGGGAAAAAAAGCGGCTTTTGAAAAAAACCGTCTCCACGGCACTGTTTTCATACTTCCAAGTTAAGTAGCTTGGCTTCTGTTGGAAAAATAAGCTCCTTAAAATTGCAGCAAACTCAAGAGCAAGTACAGAAAGAGTGGGACCTTTGAGACAATATCAATTACAAACCATAGCCATTCTGAAATGACATGATACTGAAAGCTAGAAAACTAGCAGAACTAAGTTAAATGTGCTTTCCACATCACAGCTGGATCGGAAAGTAGCTCGCGGCCAAGCGTTTCCAGTGATGTGTGTTTTGGTGAGAGTGCACATCGACGTGAAACAGGACTCTAGATATAACATGACAGTACAATCCCTTGCTTGACACGGCCAGTCGCTCCGGCCTGCAGCCATCAGCTCCAGCAGACCGGGGACATGAAGAGCTGTTTTTTCCCCTGTGGTTTGAGGTGAAGTCCTGGGACGCAGCCCGTTCACAACCAGAGCCACAGACATGCATCACGGGCTGTTTCTGGAGACTGACAGTAAATGATACATTCCAGTAAATCACATTGGACAGTACAGCAAGCCTCTTTAAACAATATAGTTCATTCTACAAATAGAAGACTTTTTCTTAACAGACAAATAGCAAAACAAAAACAACCCCAATGGCTTCTCGGAAAATATGGAAATATTTTAACATTAACCATAAAAAGTGGCATGTTTCATGCTTAAACTCTGTGATTATAACATTTGAATGAGTTTAAACCAGAAGCATGCCAGTTTGTATGGAAAATGTTAAAATTGTTTTCTTCTATCGCAGTTTAATGTGCAGAGACAACTACTAGTAGTTACAATGGTTCAACCAATGGTGTGAGTTTGGGCAGGGCTATTTATTCCAGTAACAGATTGGGGGAGTGTCTGTGGAAACCTGTTTGAAAATTATTATTTTTGCAGCTTTTCTTGCACATACACTGGTGGGTTATAAATGATACATTTTACAGAGAGGATTACATTTTATTATAAGAACAGGACTGAAACATTTGATTCTGCCGGACATAAGTTCAGGATAAAACAAATTTAGCGGTTCAGATTAGAGTGAATGTGTATTCCATTGTTTGCAGGATTCTGGTAAATGCAGAGGCGCTGCTGCCTGAGGGGCGATTCAGAGAGACTCCGCTCACTGCACATTTAAACAGACATAAATCACAGCAGTTTTTCATCCTGATAAATGTTTTGATTATGCAATGTAATTATTAATGTCCAAAGTGTTGCTGCTCATAACTTCAAGGTTCCAAATGAGCCATAAAATTATGACCTGTGCATAGTTTAAATAGAACATTTCCCTCATAAACTGTGATACAGAAAGTCAGCGATGCAGAAATCATTCAGACACAGAAACACATGTACTGTATAGGAAGTCTCTCTGAGGACACTGTGAGGACTTGCAATGCACTCGTATATCCACAATGACAAACTGTGAGAAGTAGTTAGTGATGGATTTCATCGCTTAAGGTTTTAGTCTTTAGTCTGAAAGTTATTTTCAGTAATAAGGAAGACCAGGGCTAGTTGTCAGTATTTACTCCTGTAAAAAGCCACATTTAAAATTTATATTAAAGCAACATACTTTAAAGTAATGGCTACAAAAAAAAATAAAAATATGACTAACTTTTTTAACATTATTGCCCAGGAATTACACAGCATTCAGCTGATATTTTCTGACAACATAGTGGGGCATGTTGTCACAATATGTGAAGAACATAGTCACAGATTGTCACGGATTCGGTCCATGGACTTCCGTTTATTCACCACCAGAGGTCACCCTTTCCATTACATTGACTCTCGCACTACACAAACTGTTGCATAGCACCCCGGACTACATATCCCATCATTCTTTGCACGATTTGCACACTGCCCTGATTGCACTCATTGCACACAGCTGTTTCTAATCACCTCACTCACTATATAACACCCACTCTAACCACTTTTCTCTGCTGAGTATTGTTTAGCCTGTACCCCTTTCCGAGTCTCAGTGTTTTCCTTGTTTTGCCTTGCCTGTTTTTGCAGTTTCTGATCTTTGCCTGTTTTCCTGGATTTCTCCCTCTCGTCTCGCCCCTGTGATTCTGTCTGCCGATCGGTGACCTACGCTAGCCCTAGGACTATTCTTGTGTTTTTGCCCACCGTTTACCTGTTTGCCATTGTTCGACCCTGCCTGTTATACCACGTCTCTTTAAATAAAGCTTGCAGATGGATCCACACGTCTCACGTCTCGTCAGCCCCGTTACAGGATACTCAGCCCCACAAGGATCCAGCAGCTATTCAAGTGGACACTGGCCAGGTATGGACACTGCAAGAATATTACTAGCCCTTAAACAAGGCCCGCGATCGCTGGAGAACTATATTAGAGAATTTCTAGCCATAGCACATTATGCTGATCTACCAGACTGTCTTCTGATAGAGTTTTTCTGTGATTGCCTGAATCAACCTCTGCGATCTGAGCTTAGACACGAGGGTCCACGTTCATCACTCGCTCAGTTCATGGATTATGCTTTGTTGACTGTCGGATCTTTATTTACTGTGGGTGTCGCGGAGGAAGAACGC